GCAAGGTAGTCGGTGAGCCCGTGGTTGCGTGCTGTGGTTGGTGAATTGAACTCCTCCCTGAAGAGCTTGTCGGGGTACTGCGATGTGGGGAGGAGGTCCCAGCGGTATGGCGGGCTGGCTCCGGCGAAGTTGCGGTTCATGATCTCTTGGATGTTTTTCCGGCCCCACGTCTCGCGCTAGAAGTAGGGGAGGACCTGGTTCTTGTTGGCCGCATCTTTGACGGCGTTGATGTCGATGAGGAACTGATCGAAATCGTCCTGATCGGTGATCTTCCTGCTGTATGTTCAGGATGGCCGCTTGAGGTTCTGCAGGAGGCAGTCTTCATCCTTCTTCTCCCTCAGGCGAGGTAGAGGAAGCAACTGGTGTTGGGCGCTCCTGGACCTGTCTGGGGAGGGTGCTGAGCGCCAGTGTCGGTCACGAGGTCCGCAACTGGGCGCTGTGACCACGAGGGCTTTTCAAGGCTGGCACAAGGTCAGATTGCTGTATCTAAGGGCGGTACGGGTTGAGGCAATGTGGGCAGCTGCACCGGCCGTGTTGTTGCTTGATGGCGTAGCCCGTGGGCAGATGTAGGTGTGCCATGGCGTCGCTAATCTTCGAGGCCCGCCTGGTGATATGGCTGTCAGCTCCGACCCTTTCAAAGAATGAGTGGCGATCTCAGTCGGGGCCCAAGGCGGACTTGATCGTTCTTCATTGCATTAATGACGCGGGCCCGCTCCTCATCAGATAGGCCTTGAACGTCCGCGGTGAACTGATCGACCAAACTGAGGATCCTGGCATGGAGGGCGACGCGGACCTCGGCCTTGTTCTTCTCGGGGCGCTCCGCCTGGATCTGCGCCGCCGTTGCCACCCAGTAGGTGTTCCGCTCTCGGCGCTTGGCGGCGCGCACCTTCTGGCAAAGCCAATAGTTGTCCACATCGATGCTGCGGATCCGCGGGGTTGCTCGACTTATTGGCGACGACTGCATGACGCGCCCAGCAGAACTTGGTCTTGTTCCAATATGCCTCGATGTACAAGCGGTGCTGGTAGGGGCCCCTCGTCCAATGCGATGACCCACCGCTTGGGATAGTTGTCATAGTCGGCGTCCAAGGTGGCCCCTGATGAGCGATCGGTGTACTGGTAGCCGGTGTGCCTGGGACTTGCCCTTTTGCCAGGCAGTGCCGGACTGAGGGACTGATGTGTGGAGATGCTTCACAGCAAGCCTAGGTGTCAACTGTTCGATGACTGGCACATAACACGCCACCCTACAAGTACATAACACGCTGATCTTGTGATGTGTTTTACGCGCAAGGACATGTGTGGCACAGGCATGTTTGGACCATGATCGAAGTATCTCGGTGAGTCAACGATGCGACTGTGGTATCCCCCCTTGCCTCAGCGGAAAAGGACATCCTGCTGTCAAACAAAGAAAAGGCATGAGGATACGTTGATGGCCCACGGTGCCAGTTTGGGTCCGCTGGGGTAGACATAGTCCCGCCAATCGTTCTCGAAAGCGCTGCCACCAAGAGACCAGGAGCGCGTAGCAGGACCGCCCGGTGTCCCGCTTCCGGGTTTTTGTGGCCAGCTGCGGCGAAGGCGCCGGTGAGGAACCAGATGTAGGCTTGGGTCGACCACGTCAACCCGGAGAGGGCAAAGGGCATCCAAAAAAGGCGCTCCACTCCGTGATGAGGCCTGTAGCTGTAGGGGCCGTCCAGGATGAGGCCAAAGATGGACATGCGCCCAAAGCCAGAGCGTCAGTTGCAGAGGCCCTAGACAATCCCAGTGAGGCGTTCGAGACAGGTGGAGACTCGGTTTAACACAAAATATGCAGGAAGTAGCGCTAGTCTGCTAGTCCTGGCGGGGCTGCGGTAAACGATCATGGGGTTGCATCTAGTCACCACACTCTCAACTCAGAAAACTGCCCTGCGCTAACAGCGAGGCTTATCTACAAGTCTCCAGAGATCAAGGAGACGATGTCAATATGTATGTTGACATAACTCACCATGATATGTCTCATAGTGGTTCAAACGCCGCCACTCCAGTTGGTGATCTGGCAGGTCCAGAGCAGCATCTAGTGAGTCATCTTTGCGGCAGTCAAACAGGTCTGCAGCCTACTGCTCACAACTTAATAGCCCAAGGCCGCCTCGAAGGCGACCAGGAGCGAGGTGTTGACGAGCCATGGTGCATCATCCGCCATTGCCAAATACGGGTAATTGGCCGGAGGAAATTGATGAACTTCCCGTGGGGGTACAGGTGCAAGCGGTGGTAGCTGATGGTGTAGCTGCGCAACACTGAATGGCAAGTTGTTCCCGCTGTAGCCCCACTCTGATGGGGGCATTGGGTTCGGTGGTGATGGCCCCGTCCATCGACGTAGGCACCGACCGAATGGGGAGGATGCTGCTGGCAAAGTCTCTTCCGTCATGATAGGAATTCATGGGTAAGCTTGATGTGGCATGTGGCATGGGCCTGGGCCGTGGTGACATCGCTGTATAGCCAGGCGCCGTTTGTGGCGGGGCAGCTGGTGGGATCGGAGGGAAGGACGACGCTGTGGGCGGTGGCGGCGGTCTGGAAAGAATCCTGCCAGACCGTGTACGCTGTCTGGGTCGCTTGGGGTAGCAGGCGCAGTGCCACGATCGGGGACGGTGACCTACTTGGGGCAAAGGGGATGGTGATCTGGCCATGGCGACTGCAAGATCTCAATGACCGGGTCGTTGCTGTCGTTGCCTGCATTTTTCCATGGGTCATAGTCGTCGTTGGGCGGTGTTGGCGGCGGCGCCTTTCTGCCGGCTGCAGTGACATTGGTGATGTTCGGCGGTGCTTTGACCATCACGGTGTCCTCATCCGGCGGGATGGACGGCGGTGCCTGCTTAGTCGTCTGAATGCCACAGGCTCCTCCAATGATTCGAGCGGTCGGAGAGGATGCCCTGGGTGGAGATCTGTGCTTCGGCTGCTGCTGTGATATGGAGGCAGCCGGCGTGGCCTTGATCTGTACGGGGCTTGTCTGTGATCCCCTGGTGTTGCTCTCTGCTGTTCAAATGATGGAGCAGATGTAGACGAAGAAGAGGTCGAGGCCGCTATGTTCGCTGGTCCGGACAACGTGGGTGGCAATGTTCTGGTCGGTGTCCTTGGCCTAGGTGAGGGGAAGCGCGAAGATGTCCGGGGTCCGCGGTGATCTGCCCCTCGTGTTGTGTCGCCCGGAGCCGCCCGTGGTGATCCTGGAGTCTGCGACTGGCACGCCCCCTTTGCCAGAAAGTGGGTGTAATCACTGGCGGTGGCCCACTGAATCCAATTCATTCCAAACACAAAGCTCTTGGCCGCCCTGGTGTCCCCGGTAGGTAGGGAGCTGAGGAGCATGTTGACCGCCTGATGCTTGATGACGACCTCGAAGCGTTTGGCCGCCTGAATGTAGTTCAGGATGAACCGGGGTCGTTGTCGGGTGTGCTGTAAGTACGATGCATAGACGGCCTCGGCGAACGTATTGCCACGGCTGTGCACGCAATCAGTAATTTCTACATGGGAAGTTTAGGGGGACCCAGGAGATCAGGGTGAACGCCAGAACAGTCAGGACGACGGCAACGTTGGCCACCACAAACATCGGCGCACACGCGGAACCTGGGTGCGGTGAAGGTGGCCGGCACTCCTTCTGGCACCTGCTGAGGGATCTCCGCCATGATGCTCAAAGGTGGGTACACTCCTTCTGGCACCTGCTGAGGGATCTCCGCCATGATGCTCAAAGGTGGGTACGTCATCTCGCCCGCGGTGATGTTCTGTCCAAAGAACATGACCCATTCTCCTAGGGTCTCTCTCTCTCTGCCGTGCCATCCGGAGGGTCCAGCAATCTGGGGCACTTAGGTGCTGGCGGGCAATTCGTCCCAGGAGGGGTACTCGACGACGTGTGGATTCCGCTCGAGGTACTGGGAGATCATGGCGCACGCTGAGGGTCCGGTGCTGTAGAAGAACTGGACGATGTATATGACAAAGATGTACTGGAGGATGCAGGTGACCGTGGGGGTGTCCCCACTATGATGCCCTGGGCGTCCTTGATGTGACCAGCCAAGAATTCACCACGAAGACAAGATTTGGTGGCCACAAACAGATCGTTGAGGGCCAGCGCGTGAAGCTCTTGATGAAAGACGCCTCCTCGGCGTAAGATGGCCGAGAGCGATCGAGGCGAAGCAGCTGCAGCCGTTGAGGTGACAAGGTGTCCCAAAGGAACAATGGCTGCAGAGCAAAGAAAAGGAACAGATGTTCCAACTTACAGGTGCACCAACTAAAACCAAAATGGCAGCGGACATATTCAGTCGAAAGGCAAAGCATGGAATCCGCATGCATTTGTGGTTCTTAGCTTGGTGCTCAGAGAACTGTAATTTATAACGCACGCGTAATGCAATGAAACCTGAACAACCGACAAGTGTGTCGCCCGATAGGCAAGCTGAATGAAGTACAACTGCGCTTTGCACATACTTCCCCCGAGCCATACGATTTGCCTGAAACCCTCACCACATTCAGCAAATCCAACATGAACCAACATGCTCTGCCTAAGGGATTGGCGGGGGGTATTAAGTTCATGTGCAATTCGAAATGCGCGATGAGTTTTCTGACCCAAGAGCCTGGCAAACATGAGACAGGTTTCCTGCCAGAAAACTCTAGGGTAAGCACTCGGCGCCAGATGGGCTAAGTCAGCAAATTCCATTACACAGCGAAGCACCATGCCACAAGGTCCTTGTTGATTCGACGTAAGGGTGAAGAATGCCAAATCATCTAGATTCACGCATGCCATGGACCGAAGCTAATTGATTGCAAGTGGAACGGAAAACGTTTGTTCCATTTTGTTCACTCTGTAAAGACTATAACCACAAGGTTACTGTTTGCACCTGGCTCAAATGCACACAACACTCTAGGTTGGTGGACAACTGGAAAAGCAGATTTCGTGCGTGTTTTGCGCAGTTTGGGCAGACATCAACCCTGCGCACGCCCTTCAATAAAACAAAGCGAGGTCTAACCCCGCCCAGGTACCCGCCCGCCTTGGAGAGAACTTGAGTTGCCAGGGACACATGAGAAGACCCCTGCGACTTGGCCACCACCTCCCCAGGCAAGAATCAACAAAAGCGAGCAGGCATCAGTGAAGCAAAATGTCCGTCCTGACGCAAAACTACCCATACCTGAGCGAGGAGGCAGGAAGCTGTGGATTTTGACTCTCCATGCAGGTGAAAGACATCATTGGCAGAGTTGTGATGCCGCAGCACGAAAGTTACCGTTGCCCGCGTGTTCAGATACGGCCATGAGTCTAGCTACGAAAACTTGCCGAGAGACCAAGACAGCCGTGAAGCCTGTCTTCCTTCCATTGCCGCTGATGCACATGACCTTGCAGGCAAAGTTGCTTTATTGCGAGAAAAAGCGCAGGCCGAATAATACAGGCGAGGCACACATCAAATGATGAAAGACCTGCTGGCTAGCGGCATCATGCCAGCTATGGTTGCTAAAGCTTGATGCAAAATGCTGCGGCATGGCAACCTGCAATGACATGAGCACGCCCGCATGTCTGCCAAGGCAAAGATGCAGAGCAACCAGCTCAAATCCTGCGCTCCGTGCCTTCCTGCAAAATGAGGGACAACTGGCCTGAACCAGCGGAGCCAGCAAGAGCAACGTTGCCAAGCTCATGACCAGCCACCAGTCCTTGCGAGTTGCATTTGCTCCCAAGTTCAGGATTGCCCTGCAAGCGCTGCACAAAAGCGCTTCCACAGTTAATGCTGGGAAGCGGACACCAGAGCAGAGAGCTCAGATGATCTGGATGGCTCTAGCATAAGCAGAGCCAAAGCAGCCCAAATCACACACAAAACTGCAACACTTGCAAGGAACCCTCTTGATGCCCCTTGATGTGCATCACGTCTCTATGCGCTTTGTTGCTGGAAGCGCATTTCAATCCATGCTAATCTTGTGCTTTAAGATATGAAAGCACCTCTCCCCCAATGTATTTGCTAGTTACCTCGTATTTGACAGGGGAGTGCTATCTCGGATGTAGATCACTGGGGGGGGGGGGGGCACAGTGGGCGCGGTATGCTGAACTGCTGCATAGAGAATGTAGTCGCCTGTAGTCTTGGCCTGATTAGGAAGCTCATTCAAAAAAACACGTTCACGGCAAGGACCAAGTTGCTCTCACCAGAAACATAGCCGGCGTCTGCACATGCATTTTATCTGAATGATACTCGCAACCACGGTATGTGACATGTGCCTTGCGCATAGAGGTGCGTCATACGTGCAATCATTTGAGTATTCCACCATTTCCCGAGAACCAGTTCTCTCACAAACGAATAGGGCGCTTAACATGTGGATTTTGAGTCGTATATGGATACGTGCAACTGGTAGCGGGAGCGCAGCATCTGAGCAAATCCTAAGGAACCAGCTCCACAACACAGCACAATGAATTGGTCATGGGCACTACCAAGCCAACCCAGCCAATCCTCATTTCTGGGCGCGGCACGGCATTGGACCTTGAACAGGTCCAATGTTGAATGAAAACACCACACGCCTGGCCAGCAGCTACAAACATTGCCCCGGCGCTGAAAATCTAGTTGAAAATCTAGCAAAGGCCAATAGCAGAACCAAGTGCAACAAAGCGGGCAACACAGCGGTGGATTTTCGCCAGAAGTGGGGTTGGTCCTGGCGCCAGCTCTTTCACTCAACCGATTCGCAAGGGCAAATTCTGAGAAGCCAGCTGAGGGGATGTTACCGTTGCCATATGACTGAGCCAAGACCTCCGTTGCGCTTTCTTGTCAAGGAGGCTTGACTCGGCAGTCTCTCAAAAGAAGCCTTGCAAGCCTTTCAGGAAACCCGAAGCAATACCAGAATCATTGATCGGGCTCTAGGTTTCAGGCGGGAAAAAGACTAGGTCACCAGACCTTTGCAGTTAGCGCATTCACGTCCAATTCTGTACGCGGCAGCAATTCCGGCCTTGGAGAGTGGAAAAAGGATCGGCCAAATGGTGGACTGTGTCCTCGCTTAGTTCTTCAAACGCTCCTGTCTTTCAAGTGCCAGGGGTTGCATGTGGGGCCTCTCGGGTCTCCAAAACGCAGCTTCCCAGCACCGTCACCAGCCTGTCAACAATCCCTGTAAGCAGGGAAGCTCCCAAGCGGACATCCAGCATCTAGCTGTCGATTATTTTCTTCTCTTCTGCGCTTGCCAGCTTGAGTCGGCCGAGCTCATCAAAATGTGCAATGATGGCGGCCTGGCAGACATACACGTGGCTTCTCGACTGCAATGAAAACATCAGCACCTTTAATTTGGTTATCTGAGCTTGGCGCATTCGACCGAACTGGATTCCGCGATGGCTCCAGGACAGCTTCCATGAACTCTTCACGACTTGGTCGGGGCCACAAACTGAATTGCCATGCCGAGGGATCTCCTCGAGGGGTCTGCAAGCGATAAGGTCGCCCTTGATTTCATGCACTACGCTGCAGTCCTTCTCTTGGCAGGAAGATGCTAGGGTGCTTCTCCACGATGCTCTGCACATATGTGGAAAGCAAATCCCGCCATTCCTCGTTGAAATGCTCCTGGCCATGCACGGCATTGCATATACTAGAAGCACGTAAGACGCTTATACAGAACAGCTGCAAGTGCAGCAGCTCCTCGAACTGATCTAGAAGCCCTGCATCTTGCAGCCGGGGCTTCCACTGAGACATGCTTGCCCTTGGGTACACGTCAGACTTAGCTGCTTCAAGCTCTGCGTCATCCACCGCCTCAACCAACTGATTAGCTTGAAGAAGCGTAGCCCGTGCCATGGCCACCATGAGCTGTGCTTTGAGGGTCAACAACATATGATTGGCCACAGCATTCATGTCCGAGGAAATATAATACCAAGACAGTTCCCATCTGCGTCCAAATCTGGGCTGCCAATGCCGAAGATGGCGTGTCGCCACGCCCGTATTCAAGAACTCAAAGAATCCCACCTGCTGCCAGAAGCGACCGGCCTCGACGAATTTTTCCATGTGAGCAAGATCATGCAGAAGCATCTCCAAACAGTCTCGGTGGCCATAGACTTGTGACAACAACCTGAGAGATGTGAGGGCACTGACGCATCGCACGCCATCTGCCTGCATGATGAGAAGATCCTGTGGCTCGGGTATCCTGTAGATCACACGCAGGGGCCGCCGACCAGCATAGAATTCTTCCAAGCAAACGTATGTGCCTTCTGGGATCCGGTGCAAACGTGCTTTACATGCAACATCCTTTAATGTTGCGGTGTCCCTTCCCAGCCCAAGCTTGTCCAAAAAACGATTGCTCAAGACATCTTTGCCCAGAAGTTCCTCAACACGTTCATCACTGAGCCTGGCCGAGAAGTGCGGAGGCTCTTGCGGAACATCTTGCATTCTTTCTTGACGTGGTCGCCGCCAGCCAGTGAGCAGGCGATCGCCATAACGCAAACTTAGCGTTACAAGTATGTAGCAAACGCAGACATCTGGAGGTGAGAGGACACCTAGTGAGTGAAGCTCCTTCAACTTTTCCAGTTTGGGAGATAGCCTTGGAGCCTCTGCCAAGGCTCTCTCCCTCAAAGCTTCGGTCGGATCCATGGCTTAGACTGCAGGCAGAGCGAGGCCACCGTAGCAACTGGGATGATTTTGGCTGGCTTTAAATGCATTGGGGGCGGGCATCATTGCTGAAGCCAAGCTGACATGAAACACTAAAACAGTGGTTGCAAACTAGCCCATTACCGAGGGGTTTCACATCTTGTGGCCCTTCAATGATTTCAGGATATTTCAGGTGCCTTCAACCGGGAAAAGGCTTAACGAACCATTTTCTCGTTCTCTTGGACACCAGCATACACCCACTTGAAAGGGAGGTCCAAAATATTGGAGGGAGGCCGGACTGCATGCTCCAGAGCCTCAACTTTTAGGGGGCCACCTTTATTAAGCCTCCTACCCCCTGCAACCCGTAAACTATGAATGTATTGACGCCTAAAGCCTTTTTGAGGTGTGGCGCCCTAGGCCTAAACGACAAACTATCGCTGAACTCCAATAAGCTAGCTCTGGTGACATGTATTGCTCCGAAAATCTCCGAAACAAAGCCGAATAGCAAACAAATGAAGCTAAACATGGCAAACCGAAAAGTCCAAGTTCAGAGATCAAAACAACCCGCTTCAAAACTTACATTGTTTCTTCTCTTTTGGTTGCGTGTGCTCAATGCATTGTGCGTGCGTGTTTTTGAAAACTTGGGTTTTAGCTTGCTTCGTACTGCTCTGAAATTCTCCGACAGTTTATTTATTGCGCATGTTTCAACAGTTTCCAGCACTCAGCTCAAGCCTGCTCCTGTGTCCAAACTGAGTTCCAAAATTATGTTTCAAGCATGGCAAACCCCGCTTCGGCTGCTTACTTCAAGATGTGTCAGAACTGACCTCTCTGCCAGCAAATGAAACCCAGGGAGCACAAGATATGGAAAGTTCTTCCGACAAGCATGAAGAACAAAAAGGGTATTCCTTTGCATGAAATAAAAAGGCTTAAGAAGGTTGGATGAGATCTCCTTCCTGCCCAATATGGATGTCAAGATCTCCTTTCTTGTTATTAGAAACTCTTCCAAGAATCACAATCGCTCGTACTACAGCGAATAACTTGATTACCGTCAGAAGTATGAGGGAGTACTTCGATATATCATATGAAGACAAGGGCAGGGTGTCCTGATCGCATTAAGATCAGTAGCAATCTTCTTTCCAAAATCGCAAAAAAAGGCTTCTCAAACCATTAAGTCATCGGCCTGTGACAAGACATATCCTCTTGATTGTCATGCGTAATCATGTTTGGACAGCTAAAAGAGGCAAACGCTCATCCTCTTTTGCGATGAGCGACTGACTATTCGCCTTCATATGCCAGAAGCACCGAGTGACTTAACACCTTCCGGTCACACGATGTTCCTCTTGACAACATAGTCCAACTTACGGCAAGTGTGAATCAAGATGTGTCATGAGCACTGGCAGTGCTGATACATTTTGTTGGTGCACGTGTGCATATGTCTGCGTTTGCATCAGGGCCCGTCACTCTTTTTGTCACAAGCAAGAGGCTGCCTAATAAATTTGAGCTCGGCACACCACTTTTCATAATCCTTTACCGTGAAGGTGAAGCTGAATGTCGCAACGTATGTGCTGACAACTTGGCCACAAAAGTAGGCGTGCATACAATATTGCTGATATGGTAATTAAGGCTATCTTCTGCCATACCTGGGGATGGCGCACATCCATGGAATCAGGGAAGAATCGCGTGCGCGGTGAGCAGCTAGCGCGACCAAAGAAGCAACAAAAAATAATCCTTGCCCGCATCCTCCTGACTTGACTCCTGTGCGTTGAAAGAGCCGCAGGTTCTAGACACGGAGGATTTGCAAGCGGCGCCGTACGCATCTTTTGCGCAGCCAGCCAAGCAGTTTTTGATTGCGCAGCTCATCTTCCTACCGAAGCAGCTTGCGCATCCCCCGCTGACACCCTTCCCGACAAGGCAGGTGGCGGCACAGGTGGCCTTATCACTGGCCGAATAGCACCGAGTGCCAAATGTCTTCATCAAAGCCTGGACCTCGAAGCAACCACTGCCAGAAGAAGATTTCACCTGTAAATGAGCCGTTGAGTTTGCTGCGGCATCGGCAGCACCACCGAAGACCTAGACGAGCGCTTCAAGCGTGGAGTTTTGCCCAACGGCATCGCGACTCTTCACTGCAGTGCTGCAGAGACCGCAATTGGAACTGATGCAGCTAGTGCAGATGGGCTTTGTGAAGCCAGTGGTGCAAGAATGCCAGGGCAGTTGGCGCACGTCCCGCGTACACACTTCCCCCTAAGGCAGTTCGAAACACAGGTCGCCTTCCCAGCGCCAGATACTCCAAAGCAACGCCCTCTGCAGCTCTGCAAAGGAGGCTTGTTACGCGTTAAACGATGCGACCTGAAGGATGAATGCCATCGCGAAGAGGGCGCATCAGGTGAGGATGCGGCTTCTGTACTGCAAGCCCTTTGAGCAAATTCTTGAGCCAAAATGGATATGTCTACTGAAATACTAACTGCTAGCCTACCAAGAGCTGTTGGTACCAACATGGCTGAAAGCGATACTTCCTACCTTGGCTGGTGGATTGATAGAATGCTTGGCAGCAAATGCCTGCTGCTGCAAGCCATTATAAACCTAACACTCCGGCCTGAGCATAGAATACCCCGACATGGTACTCGCCCACGTGAGTGTGTGGCCTTATGCATGCATCATGTGTCTCCTGCATTCTCCTGCGATACGCGGAGGGAGTGAGGCCCGGGGAAATTGTGAGTCGCAAGCCCGTGAAATTCGCCTGGGCCGTGCACAGCCTCGTAGCCGCAAGACACTTTGAGATCACCAATGTGACCGTAAGCATACTCCTGCAGCCTGAGACTGCTGCTGCCCAATTAAACAAGCTGTAGTTCAAGGCCATTGCGGCTTCCGGAGCCTAAGCCAAAGGCAAGGCAGATCCAACGGGAAAAAAATGCTTTCTCCCCACTTCTACTCCCTGGGCTCCGCTGGGCTTCGGGCCAGCCCTGATCTCGTCAAGTATCTGACAAGTCCAAGTATCTCATGGAATCGTCAAGGCTGTGAGGCTGCAGTGGTACGCGTCAGCTTCTCATCTTTTCAAAGTGACAGCTGCTACTTACCTTCCAGCTCTACGAAACGAAATTGCTTTTCAGCAATTCTCAGACTGATTCGGCAAGAAATGCATGATGCCATGTGGCATATTTGCGGGCTTCTTGCCAACAGTCAGCAGAACCAGTTGAAGCTAAACAAGACCACTGCCCCACGCAGTTGGAGGCCGGTTATTGTGAGTTGTGCACAGGCACTGTACTTGCCCACTCTGCACCTACAAGACTACCTGCTCTCAGCAATAAGACTGCCATTAAGACCCAAGGCACTGAGAACAGGAAAGCGAAAATCGCTAATCACCAAACAGCTGAATGCGCTGCTTCTCGATCTTCGAACAGCCCGATTCCTTGGCAAAGTCTGCCATATGAGGAAGGGTCTGGTATTTGTTCGTTCCAACAAGCATACCCAGCACTCAACCAAAGCCCCACAACGCTGTGCCAGAGGCCCTTCCCCAATCGCGGGCATATCATTTCTGAAGTCGCATGTTCGACATTGTCCGACTGGGGAAACATCTCTTGACATCACATTCTGGGAGATCATGATCGAAATCGTGAATCACAACACGTCAGAAAGAATCCGATACGGAAAATTGCTGCAAGATCCCTGAAATTAGCACCGCTAGGAGAAGGAACGCAAAAATTCTTGCAAGCATCATCCTTGTGAATGCGGTAAAACCAATCACATACCTGGAGCTGCGCAAGTCGGTTGACGAATGCCTGTGGTTCAGGAAACTCTGGACAAGACAGTGCACCTCACACGAAGGCAAATCAACTATCATCAAATCCATGTTATTTTGACTGGCCTCGTCGTGCGTGATCAGCACAAGCTGGAATCGCGACTGGGCTCTTCTGGCTTCTATGAGGCTTGCCAAGGCCTGCCATAGTACCACCAAGGAAAATTGACCTGACTTACCTGTAAACTGCACCAGTAAAGCAGACCTCTGCTAGCCCTCTTATGTTGGCCGCGTCCAGGTTTGTCGTGGGTTCATCAAGCGCAAGCACTCCACCTTAGCTTGGCTCAAGCATCCCTACAACACAGCAAGTTGCCGCCAACCTGTCTGGCGCCGACTTTGCCAAGTGATGCCCCAAATGAAGCTGCAGCAAGCAGTTGTTTCCGAAATATCCACTCGTCAGGACGACATGATACTTAGTTGGGCTAAGTTAGGCCAGAACACAGTTCACGCAGAAGGAATCTGCCAGCGCCAGTCGGATAATGAGGGAACACAACACCCGCTGTCCCGCACTGCAGCGTCCGCCTCAAGCGGCATCGGCTCACTCTGCGGACCCCTACTGCAAATGATGCCAGGCTGCTAGTGACTGCTAGTGAAGCTGGAAAGCAGCAAGAAGAAGTTTTACACCTCTTAGCACTTCACAACAATGCACAGGGTCAAATCACTACCCAGCATGCACTGCACTAGATTTAGCCCGCAGGGATTCTAGCTACAGCTACGAAACGAAACCTAGGTTAATTTCTTGATTGGCAAATATGGAAAATACTTTGCAAAGATGTGTAGGAAGAAACCTAAGGCCTGCTGTTCCTCTGCGTGAGGCGGTTGCGTCCATGCTGCTTTCCATACGTTCCCCACATTTCTTCAGATCTGTCACTTTTTTGCACACATTTCTGGAGAGGTCCAGAAATATGAAAAAAAATGTAGAGGAGATGTGGAAAACATGGAAAATGTGAAACAAAAAAAACATAAAAGATATAGACTATATAGAAACCATTGAAAACTTGCGCCCACGGGGGGGAAGGTGGGGGGGGGGGCGGAGACGAAGCTTAGAAACAGGGCGCAAACTGACTTATGCATTTTTTCACGAAGCAGCGGAGCGCGACCGGCCTCCGCGTGCTGCCTAGCGTCCCAAACAGCCTCCACGGCCCCCGAAACGGCACCCCGAAACCGCATCAGAACAGACCCCTCGTCATGCCGAGGTTCGAGGCCCACTGGCTGGCCTCCCGAAAACCCTCCTGCCGTGGGGCCTGGCCCGCGAAATTAGTGGTTTCCCCTCCCCCACACCCCCCTAGACAGATCAGCAAGGCTGGACTTGGACGAAAGCTTGAGGAAGCTTTCGTAACATTGGAGAACATTGGCAGACATGGGCAAATATGCTGAGGGCTGAAATCAGCCTCGCGAAGGCCTAGAATCCAACTCAGGGTTCTTCAGACGGCATGTTGAAGCCATATGATTTTGCATATTATGCCAGTTAGGGCATCGGCACTTCAATTGCATTTTCTTGGGGCCACTTTACACGCTTTTTCAATAAATAGTAGCTACGGCTTGGTATCTCAACACTAACTATTTTTTGAAATCCTGAGGCCCAGCTCCTTACGTAGGCACATCAAAGGCCAACAGGATGTCTTGCATCTCCAGGAACAGCTCAGGCCGCACCGTTTTGGCTGCAAGGCCAACTGTTGGATCACTGGCAAGACCTGTGTACCAAGCCTGCTTATACAAGTAGCACCACGTGACTCTGTACCCAACCCCAGCCAAACTCAGCAAAGCGCGCATGTCAAGCTCTGCGTCACCACAAACCATCACAACGCGGTAGTTGTAGGATCGCCTGTCAAGGCATCCTACATTACCTACAGCAGTTCATGAACATGGGCGTAGCCCTCAGCCCTCCCTGACTGAGGGACGTGCATTGCGCGGCCAGACGCAGCAGAATCTACGGGTCCTTCTCCATCACCCTCTTCCGAATCCGACCTCTACAGCACTGAGGGCTTCATGGCACACTGTTGCAAATGGAAAGCGGCGGCCGAAGGATTTCCAAACCCTGCAGTTGCAGCCTGACAGCAACATAATCAATGTCTCTGCCGCGGTAAACCTTCGCTTCAGGAAGCTAAGATCCAGCACATTCAACCGGCAAGCATCTACCACATCCCGCAGGCCATCCCCATCAGAGCTTGGTACTATAACTGTGCTCAGATGTGCTCAGCAGGTTTCCCATGATGCAGACAGAGCAACTTTCTGCCATAGTTCCTTGACGGTCTTGTTGATCTCTGCCATTTTGAGCGAATGAAATTTCATCAAGGCTTTGTCCAAGGCCGAGTGGTATCGGCCAAGATCCTGCTTACGACAACTTCTGACAGGCGACGTCGAGGCAAGACGTTTGCCAGGCCTTGGCTGCTAGTGCAGCGGACTCGTGGCGAATAGTGGCTTCTCGGTGGCGTTGCTCGACTCCTGCATCATAAGCAGAACAACAGATGCCTGCATGCAAAAGAGACCTTGTTCCAAATTCCAGCCTGCGTACAGTGGAGAAGCTAACTCAACCTCGAGGGAGCGTATCGCCTCGCGGGTCTGGACCAGCTCGCCTTCTCGGAAGGATCGCTGCTTTTGCAGCTCCATCACTCGCACTCGGACACCTGAAAGCTGTTGCCGCAAAGCCTCGATATCTCTGCCACCAAGGTCCTTTAGCAAGGAGTTGATCTCTTGCTGGTGTCGCTGAGCCTCTTCCTCAATGCTCTTGAGCCGAATGTTAGCCTGAAGTGCTTCTCGTATAACTTCCTTCTTTCTTCGCTTGTCTTCGGCTGCCTCAAGTCTGGCTCGTAGTCCCTCAAGCTCGCGCTCTGCTGACCGAACACCATCGTCAGCTATTGCCAACTTGGCTTTCAAGACCTCCGTGTTTTCCACACGGCTCTGCATCACGTCGATTGACTTACTAAGCTCTGTCAAAGCATCAACCTCGCGCTGCAGAGTTCGGACTTGCGCATCTTGGGCATCCAAGTCATGACGGTATTTGGCTGCATTCCGTGCCCTCTCGTCACGCAACTGCTTTGCACGGGCTGCTGTGGAGTCTGCTGCTGCCTTTGCCTGGCGGGCTGCCTCGGTGCTCTCCTGCAGCTCCACCTTTCGAATGGCCAACTCTGAGTCGACATCACTCCGCCTTGCGACTTGAGATTGAAGAAGTTGCAAGCGTCCCTTCTGTTCAGCCAGCTGGGTACGCACTTGCTCCTGCTGCTTCGCTAGGAGATCGCGCTGCATACGAACGGAATCCTCCTCTTTGCCAAGCTCGACCAGCTGCTCTTGCAGCACACGGAGCTGATCCCGTTCCGCCTTTGACAAAGAGCAAACACATGCGGATTCGGATCTTTGACCCCTTTGGCTTCAGGTTTTGAGCCCACGGCCTGGAGTGAAACCTTGGAGTTTGCGCCCAGCAAGCGCGCTTCCTTACCGCGGACTCCCACACGCAGTTCCTCCACGGAACTGGCCAGTCGCCTGAGAGGCCGAGGGGTTAACCCCTCAACTCACGCCGCTCGCCTTAAGCCTTAAGCCTTCAGCCGGAGCACTGCAGCGCAGCTGCCTCTGGACGAAGCTCATGCAGCGCCTTCACCTCAGAGACAACATGAACAAGCAGGCTTGATCCCGCGACAAAAGCTCCTTGCATTCAAAGGTCTCGGTCCTCCAGTCGCCGCCGCTCCCGCTCTTCGGGCTCCAACAAGCCACGCAAAGATCCTCGGAGTCAGCCACAAGTCCACGTTGACATGTGGAAAAATCAGTTTGCTGCACATCCCTCCATTTTCTGAGAGTGCTGCGCTCTTCCTCTGCTGCTGGTAGAACCTCCTTTTGGCGCCTCGGCATCTCCTCCTTCCGAAGCTGCTCAAGACGTTCCCAGCGTGGCCGTTGGGACTCCAGCGAGGCTTCCTGCGACTGGACCTCATTCAGCTTCTGATGACTGGATTCCAAAAACCCAGGGATTTTAGCAATGAGCTTCTCCATTGCATCCTCAAAGGTTGCGAGGTCACCCTCTCCAGAGAAGCCGCGTTTGCAAAACTGGCATATGTTCTTGGATCGCGACTTCTCGCGAAATTTCTCATACATGTGCTTGGCGCTTTCTGTCATAGACACATCCTTCCGGGCCAGCTCAATCTGCTGCTTGACGTCCTGTAGTCGAGCCTTAAACTCAGCAGCTGCGCTATTGTGGCTGGCACCAGAGGAGGCCGAGGGAACTCCAAGTTCAGAGGCAATTCGAGCATCTTCCTGCTGGAGCCGATGCAACTCTGCCTCGGCATTGGCTTTCCTGGCTGCTGCAACGCCGATTCGATTCTGTAGGTCCTGGCATTTTTTGGCCTGGTCTTGTAGCGATGCCTGCGACTCGTGCAATGCAGCAACTGCCTTGGCCTCTGCCTCAGAGGCATCTGGCATCTGGCCCAGCAGTGGCACGAGGCCTGGGCGCAAGTCGCCAAGCTTCTTCCCAAGCTCTGCCTCTGTCTCCCTGAGACGTTGTCGCAGGGCGTCAACTTCGGCATGGACACTGCTTTGGGCCTCCAGCTGGGCAACCTCGCTGCTCTTGCGCGACAAGGAATACTGCAAGTCGTGCCTGCGCCGGCCAATGTCCTCCTGACGAGCCTCTAACCGCCGCAAACGCGCATCGTTGCCCTCGGCACCGAGAGCAGCCTCGTTCTCTCTCATAGCACGGACAAGGGCGTCCAAGTCTGGGCCTGCCCGGGCGAGTGTCTTAGCTTCCTCTTCAAGCCTCGACAAAGCTTTCGTGGAATCTTGGATGCGGGCTTCATGCTTCGAAGCCTCCAGGGCAGCTGCCTGCAAGGCGCGTTCAGCGGAGGCGATACATTCCTCTGCCTGGGAATCTCTCTGTCTCTGGTCTCGCTCTGCTTGGGCAAACTTCGCAGCTTCCGAGTCCAATTTCGCTCGCAGCGCTTCCACAGACGATTCGCTGGCCTGCTGCAGTCGAGCTTTCAGTTCCGATCTGCGAGATGTCAACAGCTCGGCGGCAGCAATTGTCTCGCCCATGTCCTCTCGTAGTTGCCGCGCGGCGTTCACAGCACTATGATACTGAGCCTCGCCTTTGCTCAAGTCAGATTTGGCCTGCTTCACCTGCTGGTCGCTTTGTACAAGAGCACGTTCGTTGAATTGCCTGGACTGTTCTTGCAGCTCGCTCAGGGATTCTTTGAAGACATCCTGCCCCCTCTGCTTCATATACTCGGCTGCTTCTTGCTTCTCCTTCTGGCACCTAGCAATTAAGCTCTTGAGCTCCGCAACGCGAATGCCGCAACTCTCGTACTGAGCTAGATCCATCTCTGCCTTCTGCATCTCTTCACCAACTGAAGCTAGCTTAGAATCCAGGCCCTCAAGCTCATTTGACAACTCTTTCGCAGTTCTTTCACGGTCTTCCTTCTGGCCAGCTAGTCGACGAGCTTGATCCAGATGCGCTTGCGACAGGTCGGCATCTGCTTTTCGATCACGCGTGGTCTTCGTCCAGTCCCTCTGCACATCCTTGATGTTTTGAAGGGCCTTGGTGTAACGAGTCGCGCCAAATATGTCGTCGAATCGTTTCTTGACACTTGCTGCATCCTGCAAGGGCCACGATGACTCCTCTTGGTGACAGAAAATGACATTTTCCAGCACGGCACGCGAGACGCCCATGAGTTCAGGAACTTGGGTGTCCATATCTGCGCATCGGTGGCTAAGGCTGGCCTTGCTTCCATCCTCAGCTGTTGTGCGCAAAACACTCTCCAAGGCTTTGAACGTTGGCTTCACGCGGCCCGCAACACGTCGATTCGCCAGCTGAAAGGAGCGGATGGCACAAATCTCACGATCCTTCAAGTCGGCACCGGCCTTGAAGAGCATGCGGATCTGGCCTTTCACTTCAGGCAATCGCGCGACTTGCGGGTCATGCACGAAGCCATGACCATTTCGAGCATTGGGCGGCAGAATTCCGGCAGATGCCATCTTCAGGCACTCGATGATGGTCGTCTTTCCGGAGCCATTGGGCCCAACAATCAGTGTGACTGGCTTCTCAAACTCAATCACCTCCATTCGCTCATGGTCAAAGCTCCGTATGCCCTGGATGCCAAGCTTGGAAATGGTCGTCATTGCGAGCGCAAGAAGATCGGACGTCCAGCACGCGGAAACTTACAACACCTAAGTGCTCAACAGGGGGTGGAACAGATGTGCTTGAAGTCCGCACATGGTAGTGCTTGATGGCAATGTGCTGTACTCGACCTGTTGGGTACCAAATGTAATTCAGACATCAAAGGTACATCTATATGGGGCCGTGGGTGTTGCACCCACGGCTCTGCCTGAAGCAACGACATGAGCGTGGAGCCCTGAACATGTAGCAAGCTGTAGCAATCGGTAGCAAGCGTAACAGGCAAGGCAAGGCTGGTCATTCAGCGCAGCCCTCTGTTTTAGAACTGCCGCACGGCACCCCTGTCGCTTTTTACTCGCTTGCAACTCGAGCCCAACCTGATGGTCAGGAATGCAAAAGAAGGATTCTCCAGTGGCACCTGTGATGCTTTCGGCCTCCGGTTCGCAAACTACCGCAGCCTCTGGACATCTGCGAGGCTGACAGTGCTGCCTTCAGCGACCGCAGTTTGTATGCCAGAAATTGGCTTGTCAACATGAGATTGATCGGAGGCGTTCCATCTTCAGAACGCATACATTCGCTCAGGCCTCGCCGCTGAAGCCTTTGGGTGGCTGCACCCGATGCCTCATGCACAAGATGCCCATTTTTGCATAAGCTTTCAGCACTGCCGCAAGTTTTCCCATTGCATGTGCTGTGCGGTCCTTTCGCGAGCCGTGTTTGCGGTAGACATATCATCCGCGATTCCTTCATCTTGCGAGCAGTCAGAGCATCACAGTGTCATGCCAACAGACTTTGGCAAGCACAAGGATGTCTGCAAAGACGGGTGGACGCTTGGGGCAAGTAGAGAGGCGTTGCTTACACTGATGGTTGTTTTGAATCTGGAAAAACTCGCCGCGCAACAGAGTAGCGTAGGGTAAGGCGTTCCCTCTCTTCCACAACTCCGTTGCTTGTAACAATAGCTGAGGGTTGCTTTGGATTGTTGGGTACTTGAAGGGTCAAGCCATGCACTGCAGTCTTCTGGTCGGACAGGCATGCATCAATGCTCTTCCTTTTGGTTTTTTTGGTCATGAGATCATCAAACCATCAGGTTGTTCCTGCGGCTGGTCGATAAGCTTGGCAGTAACTTTCAACTTCATGCCGCGTGCACAGGTAAACTGTCACAAGCATTAATTGAATAGAAAGAACGGGATAATGCAGTGGGATGCTATGATGATGTGAATGTTCTGTCTTTGCAGTGTCTCGGGTGGATTATGAGGATGATGCCAAAAAATGCTGTTTGTGTCACGCTGGCTCTTCGTGATGAATATTTATTTTCCTCTCCAAACGCTTTCAGCACAAACACCCTGGCTTCCAGAACATTATGTGGATCGCTTTTAGAAACACACAGCTGGAACGCTCTTCGGAACGTTATGTAATCAGACTTCATATCTCTTTGGCTATCGCGGGCTTGTAAAATTGAAACCACTTTTCACAACTTACGGGCAAACACATTCCTAGCAAAGCAAATTCTTCAACCAATGCAGACTGAGGGTCTTGAACAAGGCCCAAGGTGACGAGTGGCTTGTAGATCCAGGAGCTGCACCAGCGTCCTTTTGGCTTCTCCCGCTGCCCTGCAACTCTTCAAACCGAGCCGGAGCTGGTATCTGCTTGGCTTATTGCTATTGAGTGGCTGGTATGTTACTAATGTCAAATGCACCCCTGTCCGCTGTATGCTCTTGATTTCTTCTGAATGTGCTCATGATGGCATAGCCTCGCCCTGAACATTGCTTGCTTAAAAGAACGGCTACCTAGTCTGCACAAAACTTTGACGTGAACGAGATTCAACACCTAGATACAGCTACGAGCAGTTGTGCCAAGCGGGATTTCGATCCACTTACGAGGCTCATGCAAGCTGCTCCAAACCGTTGATGGGCCCTCCTGTCTTGCGCAAACTGCTTGCTTGTGACGCCTAGCTCATGTTGTTCATGCCTCTCTTGGCTTCAGTTTGGGACCCTAACCCTCACGGGACAATGAAGATGCCGCAATGCAAGTCCCAAGCTGCTGTCATCTATGACGGCATCTGACGCCAGAACGACGCCATCTGCTGCCCTACTGCTCCTACTGCATGATGAACATGTTCGAGCACAACACATCAACCTAGCCAGCCTGGCTTCCACAAGAAGTGCGGTGGCCCTGCTCGCCTGGAGCTACAGCAGGCACGTCAAACAAAGACATGTTGACTCGCACATCATTGGCAAGGATCTCGAAGTCATACATCATCAGACGAACTGAGGAGTCAAAACCTCTCATCTTTAGAGGACATTTTGGCCCAGAAGCCCTGAACAGTGAATGTAGGAGCTAGCCAGCAAACCCCCCATAACGGGGATGGTGGCATGAAGCCGTGACACTCGAGAAGGAAGTTGGCTGCCCCGCAAAGATATTCAATACTCAATAATTGGGAGATGTCCCCTGCACAGTCGATAGAAAAAGAAAATGAAGTTGAGGGGAAAAACTAGAGCGCACTAAATTCCTCGCATGTGATTCCACGGCTGTTCCAGACATACGACATGAGCACCAATCTGCGGACTCTCATCCAGAATCTCCCTCATCGCATTTTATTGAAACACGATTGGGATCCCCGCCCTTCAGAAAGGCAGCATTTCTTTTCGGTCTTGAGGGTTTCCAAAAAAACCTGGATACCGGGCACAGGAAACACCTCACAACACAACCACGTGGGCGTGGTCAGAATTTGCCATGAATACCACCCAGGCAGTGAACAGAACAGAGATGGACGCAGCAAGGAACACTGAACACCATGAAACGCGATAGGCCCAAAACTATCCAAAACTGCTCAGCAAATCGAAAGCTTGAGAGCCGGCAGAGCCGGAGCCGAGTTTCTCCCAAGCAAAAAGGACTTTGCAATATCTTGCAATCGAAAGGCCGTGGGGTTGGCAGAAGCTGGCCGATCAACTTGCGGCGGCTGTCTCGACCCAGGCTCGGCTGTCCTTGTGACTCATTTCATGAGGGAAAAGTATTCCCTTCGGATCAGTCAGCCTCGGAGATGCCGAATCCTTGGATGCAAGCCGCAACTGGAGTGCTTCCGGGGGTGGTGAGCCCTGGCAAGGACATTTGCATACGTCTGCCAAGTAGTACAACGACTGGGCAGCGTCGACTTCCCAGCCTGCCGCACTCTTGTTTTCAATGCCACTGATCCCCTTGCAGATCAGCAGGCACAGCAGGTCTGATGTGTGTGGTACACGGCACAAAAGCCGAGCAAAGCACGGAGCAATTTTGGCCACTGTCGATACCGCCGAGCTCTGAGGTGGAGCTCTCGTCCTGAAATGAACCTGCCACAAAATGAGTAAGCGAAAGGGAGAAGAGGAAGCGCCGCACTGGATGCTTTTCGAGCCGAGCAACAGTCACTCGGCTTGGCGCTTTGGGCTTGCTAGGCACCTCCTGGTGCTGGGCAGATTCCACGTTGGCGTCATCATCTTGAGCCCTGTCACCGCCAGGCTTCCAAGGGTCACTTCTGGAATTGGCACCGGCCTTGAGCTGTGATCAGGTGGGCCAGCATCCGAAGTTGGTTTGCCTCAAGCGAACAACGGCACATTTGCAGCCTTGGATGCTTCACCTGGAGCGTCTCTCAGCGATTTGCTTTTGCCAGCATGCCGTCGCACACAAGTGGAAGCAGGTCGTCGAGCCTCCACGATCTAGCTATGCACACACCATCATAAATACAAAAACGGCCTGCGGACCAGTCTTCTTGAAATCCGAATAGCGTGTAGGGCCTCATCATGACTCGATAAATGAGCTGGCATGATTCTGTCGCCACCATGAGCCTGAATGCCTTCCAGCGGCTGGCAGCAAGGTCCGCTACTTCCAAGCCCCTTTGAAGCTCGATCCACTCCTGCCGATTCTGCCCGGAGGTGACACGAGTCTTCATTTTGGGCATCCAGCTGTGGCCTTGAAGGACGGGCCGCTGTTTTTGGCGCGCTCCGGAATGCCCGCATGTGGTGAGGCCTTGCTGAACCCAAAGCAAACTGTCGCCATGCAAGCACTGTGCTGCGGAATGCTTGGCCCACGGCATCGGCCACTGCAGTTTTATCTGGAGATGCCGGCTGCGGCGCAATCTCAGGGAGGATGATATGAGCTAGCTTTGCCTTGGTCTACCAAGGAAGCAGAAAATACTCCGAGACTGGTCGCGTCATGGACACCTGGCAATGATTGCTCGCAGCAACACCGCGTCTCAGCTGTACAAGGGCCCCATATGCTTTCTGCCAGGCGTCTTCGGCAGTCCTGGCATTGCTCACCACAACTGAGAGCATAACATGCTGTGTGCAACAAGGTATTCTATTATGTAGCATTCCCACCGAAATCTTGGCCAAGAAGCGCAGGAGATACTTGCCGGCTGAAAGGGGGTATCTTTTCCGCAGCTTGCTGCTTGGCCTCGAATTCAAAACACCACCCGCAAGCCTATAGAATCGGTCAGCATTATAGCGTGTTCAGAACCCAAGCATCTTGTCTGATCACTGGTATTCTACTGGCATTCGCCAAAGTAGCCTGGATGGTGCTCTGCCGCCGCTCAGCCGCCTGATCTGCGCAGGTCTTGCTTAGCAAGAAAACAATGGTGCAAGTGTCCTGAGCACCCTCGATTCCTGCTGGCACATCCAACCTGATGAGCAGCAAACAAAGCTTTGGCCAACAAACCCACCAGTGCACAGCAGGAAGCTCAAGCTGAATGCAGGAGCCGCCAACGTGAGAGCCTCAAACAAAATCAGTACCCGAATTCTCGGATCATGCATGCTTTTGCCAAATCCTGGTTCCGGCGAGCTTCCAGCAGGAGGAGGACATCCTGGGCTGTACCTGAAGAAAAGCTGAGCTGTTGCACAAAATCATGGCGAACTAGTGTAATTGCCACTAAGCTCAGGTACACAATGGGGGCGAGCTCGGCAGCGTCATGCCGATGCCTCGAACTTAACCTCCTGCTCGACTGCCTGGAGTCCGCTTCCTTGTTGTTGGGACCTGGGGTATGCCAGCCCATCATCTGAAATGGCAAGCCATGATGATACTCCACCAAACAGGAAAACTCCAAGCCAAGTCTCCTGTCAAGTTATTGAAGCAGGCAAGAAACTCAATTCATCCCCCTTGGCCTCATCTTCAGAAAGCGTCCGAGGAATGAGACTCGGAGGCTCCACGGAGAATCCGATCGAAGAGCCTTCTGCAGGAAAAGTACTCTGCAAAGGTGACGCCGGTGATGGTGCTAGGTCTGCTAGGTCAGGGTCTTCCGCAGAAGTCGGCCCTGGGAGGTGAAAGGAAATCTGGTTTACCTCCAGCTTTTCCTCCGTTTCGCTGCGCTGCCCAGGATGCCCAGGCTCCGAGACTTCCTTGGACTTTCCCCGCACAGATCTTCGCCTGGAAGGGCTCCCAGCACTGCTCCAAGGACTCGTGGGGCTCGCAGGACTCGTTGCACGAGACTCCATAAAGGAACTGGCTCGGGATCGACTGGACGCACGAGAACCCAGGTCAAAGCTTTGCTGCCTGAAGCAAAGGGCTGGTTAGGCGGGTGCTCAAAGCTTCGAAATCACAGGCCCTCCAACATGCGTGTATTCACCAGTCATGCAAGTCATGCAGGCGTCGCACGGAAAAGCCTGCCACGGTCTGTGAGTGGAGGAGCCAGAGATGTTGCCGGCCTGTCCTTCTCAGAAGGTGATTCAGCATCCAACCTTGCAAGCGGATAAGAATGTCGCACAGCCTTTTTCCGTTAGCAATTTTTATGTCCTGCAAGGAACAGGATCTATTGTAACAGAGAATGTGGCCTGGCCTTGTTGGACTCTCGACGCTCATCGGCGATTTGTCGCCAACTAGGGTCAAGTGGACCACTGACTTGCAAACTGCAGCATCTCTTGGGAATGTGGGACAGTTTGCGGGCGCCTCGCTCACTATGTCGTCTTGCCATTCTTATGAACTTCTCCGCGGCCTCATCAACCTGGCAAAGCTCCCCTCTCAGAATGAGCGCTGGCTGTCGCACCTGCATCCCAAAGCTCAAACCAGCTCAAACCTCCCAAGGCTCAAACCTGACTGTTTCTGCGGCTGCTGACGTCCACTTTCTCACCTGTTCTGCTCAGCATCCACAGAGTTTTTGGCTGGGGTAGCTTCGAACTCAACGACCTGTAAATGTCAACCCTGCCTTGCTTAATAGGGATCTTCATAGACTTCCCAAACCTCAGGCCAGGTTACGTAACAACTGACATGCTCCCAAACCTTGCACAGCTGCTCCGAATGCTTCCCAGCAGCGCTACAATCACCTTGTACCTGGGCATGTATAGGGTCGGCATGGCGCAGGCGGCAAATTGTCTACGTTGGCAGCACTAGGTCAAGTAGTTCAGCAGGGGTTCTTCACCTCTTCTTCTACCTCCTCCGGTTCCAGACGATAGGTCTTCTGCCTTGTAGCATGCATAACCACACAAATCACTCATCAAAGAGCCCGCAAAAAGCGTGCTTCTGGCCTCTTGGCTTTGCACGCCAACCGTTTCTGGATCTTTCCTGCGCATGCGATGAAGAGCTTGCGTCGTAGTTTTGGACAATTGTACTGACAGCTTCTGTGACTCCACGCCAAGTGTCGCAGCTCTGCCGCCGGCTTCTCGTCGGCACTGGGGTTCGAATCAGAGCCACCTTCATCATCATCATCATCATCCTTGGCCTGAAAGGACAAACAGCACAAGAGCCAAGCATGGCCAAGCTTGAGGAGTGCATGACAGCCTTGTTGCACTTGCCACTGACAAGCTTGGCCAGCTCCCTAGATGCGGCGTCGATTGTCAGACGGTGGTACTGAAGATGGGGCCTCACCAGTGGGCGCGACCCTGCAACAGTCTAGCCACTTCGACCCATCAATAAGGCCGCAGCCACATTGCAGCTTCCTGCAAGCTTTGTAGGGGCAAGAACCTATTCCTGCCCATGCAATTAAATGTGACCATGGCATGGTTAGTTGCAAGCAAGCAGCTGGCCCTGCTAGGAGACCTTCGCAAGGAGGATCAGGAGGAGGCAGCTCCAGATCGCAAGACGCACCTGGTGCCGCTGCTTTCTGCAGAAAAGTCTGAGCAGCTTCTCCATGCAGCCTGTTTCCGAGCAAGAAATGCCAAGCCATCTGCATTCTGCAGCCAAGCAAGCTGAGGGGCGAATGGCACGACCAATGGTGGGCCCAGCAAGCATCAAGCGCATGGGATTGAACTCCGCGGTGTCTGCTTGCCTGGAAGCTCTGGTCTCATCCGGCTTGGGCCTGATTTTGGATGTCTCAAGCATGTGGTTTTTGGAGCTGAGTCATGCGCTAGCCTCTGCCACTGCTACTCCAATTGACAACAGTGCACTAAACAACGGATGTGTTTGAAGGCAGTCGTCAACACCGGAAGTCCACCATGAGCCAAAAATCGTCATAATCATCGTCCTAAAAACGAAAGGCAGGTTCTATAAGTTCTTTATGTTTTTGCAGAAAGCACGTGGGTCTCACGTTGACATGCGCCCCAAAAGATAAGAACGACATCAGAAATTGCTACTTTTGATTGAGGTGCAAACCCCGCCTGTATGGCTGTAGCATGTGAAGCAAAGGGCTTCCTTGACGCTAGGTTGCAGAAGGGTCATTTCCAGTACTAAAGCTGTGGCACAAGGTATTTGAAAGCCAGCGTCCTGATGGTTTCAGAAGGTTGCAGAAATCTCCGTAAAAGCATTTGAAATATTCATTGCTCCCGCCGTACTACAACAACGTGATCGCGTAACACGGGCGGCTTCTTCAGGCTTCAGACCTGCGAGGGCCCCAAGACGACCAGAGCTACGAGAGGATGGCAACCCATGCGGACCGACCCTCGCAGCTCCTGCGGCTCCTAATGCTACCTGATGCTTTTAGATACGACTTGGATGCCACGGTCCAACAAAAACATGTTATTTATGAGGATGGTGACTCGGCGCGATCTTCCCCATGACTGTTGACACCTTTGACACAAAACACGCATATGAGAGCACCCCAGTAGCCTTACCTCATGCCCGCCACCCCTATGATGTTTTGGCACCTGGTACACGCGAAGAAGACGCGCAGGTCCCACGAAGCACCTGCGAAGGAAACGAAGATGCGAACATGAATGCGTCCAAACCACGAATTGTTCAACGGCTCCGCGTCATGACACCCTAGATACCTCGTGATGGTTGCAATCTTGAAGAATCGCCAGGGCCAAACCTTCTACTTCCAGCGCATGGCAGTCCTCTCGCCAAACACAAGCACCGCGCGTCAAACATCCAGCCAGGCAGCATCACAAATCGCACAAGCATCAAACATCAGCAATGCAGTCACTGGAAAAACGTTTCGCAGCGCCCTCCACACGAACCCAAACGCTCGGTACGTAGTATGTAATGAAGCTGAAGCCCTGCAAGTCTTCTACAACTTGAGGCAGTTTGAAGCCCAGCTTTTGGCTCCAAGCATCCATTGCCAGCAAGGTGCTTTGCTCTGCTTGGTGGCCGTTCTTGCAGCACGTCTCGCTCTTCTTGCAGCACAGATCCCATAGAAAGGTGGAGCTGCGGCACGATGATTGGAGGAACTGTTCCATCCTGACCAACACTCAGGGCCTCCAACATAGCATGTCCCCATGTAGCGATTCCTAAGTGATGGCCTCAAGGGATGGCTTCCTCTGAGAATGTCTTCGTGCCGCCATCCTTGCATGCCCGCAAGCATGGAGACCGTTGGCTGTGGAGACTGTCTGCAAAACCTTGTTTTTGACATGACCAATTGAACTTGGTGGCCTGTTTCCAACAGGGCTAGAAGGAGATGCTGGGCTGAGCATGGGAGACTCCAAAACGCGGTCCCCAGCTTTGGACACCGTGGCCAAATCCTTAGTGCCAAAACTGTTTGAACAAATCTGTCGTGGTAGATGGTAAGTCAGGTCCAATTAAGTCAAGCATCCGTTCTTGTAACCTTCCCTGCCGACACCAAGAACTCTCTGGCAATATGCCCGTGCGCCAACACTCTGCGTCATGCATCCTACCCACTTTTTGCCAAGTTGCTCACTCTGTTGCCGCCCTTATACACACTTCGCACATTCCGGAAAGGATGCCACATGGTCTGTCCGACTTCTCATGTCTCTGCGTCACTCACAAGCTGGTAAGCAGTGCAGCCGAAGCTGCAAAGTTGGAGTCCCGTCCTGCCAGAAAGTATCGGATACCAGCAATACATGCACTCCAACCCATGCTCAAAAAAGGAAAGCTCGCACATCAACGCTTGTGAGATGGCCACCGCACTGAAAATGGGAAATATTGCGTGAGCAGACAAGCAACTTCCGAGCTGTTCTTCACCGGCGACCTTTGATGCTCTTGGAATCAACAACAAAGCTGTTGGTCTCAATTTCGCAGGGCGCAGGGTGACGGCCGTCCCGCCCCCACCCCAATCAATTTATCTAGAAATGATCCAAAAATCAAACAAAGCCGGTGGCAAAGCGCAAGAACTGCATGACTCAGGGCATTTAAGGGTTTCGCAATCAACTAGCAAGCGTTCGCAAAGAATTCTTCCTCATTTTGTAAGACAGGAAACAATTTAAATACCACAGAATCACCCCTGCATAAGCTCTTGCTAGGCTAACAGAAAGGGAATGGGCCAGCACATGTTTGACGGGCATGGGGGCATGGCTCGTGTGGAGCATGCTCGCAGTTTGGGCTCCCAAACGCAACGACGTGGTCTACATCTGATCCTCGAACAATCCTTTTATGATCCGGGAGTCCTCGTCTCGAGAAGCCTCCTCGGTGCTCTGCGCTTGGGATCTTGTGCTGTGAGAACGTTGAAAGATTCTCTAGTCTCCTGGGGTGCTAGAGCTCTTTGGAATGAGGGGGGCGGGTTGGTACTCTTGCGGCATGTGGACCACGGGGTTTTGTGCGCCCGCCGCCGTACTACAGTTCTGGCAACCCATACCCGTGTTTGTGCTTCTCTTTGACACCTCACGACACTTGGTGCTCCCAATGATCTGACATCACTCCGCGGTGGAAAGCGCATGTCTGCTGCTGGGGTCCGGAATTGTTTGAGGATTTTGCTGTGTTTTATTTGGCGTGTTTTTTGTTAGTCTTTTCAGGGGCAAATGTGAGGACGCTCCACGCCAGAGCGCAACTTTAACTACAAATGTGAGATTGGATTTTGAAAAGTGTCAACAGTCACAGGGATTGCCGGGGTCGGGGTCGCGATCCTCAGTCGTGGCTTTTGGACGCCCCGGTCCTCTTGGGGTTTGGAAGATGTCACTACAGCAAACAGAAGCGGAAAGGAAGAAGCAAACAGCTAAACGGCTGAAAGCAGCCAGCAGGAAGCAGAGTGTAGTCAACAAGCAAGAGGAAGCTGAAGACAGCAGAGGGGAGGCACAAAGCAAAAATCAGAAAGCAGCAAGCAGACCGTAGGCAGCAAGAAACAGGAAGCAAAAAGCAGGAAGCAAAATGCAGGAAGCAAAATGCAGAAATCTACAAAGCAAACAGCAGAAAGCGAAAAACACAAAGCAGAGAACAACAGCAGGCAGAAAGCAGAAAGCAAAAAGCAGCAACTAGAACCACAGAAGGGAGGCAAAAGCAGAAAACAAAAGGCAGCAACTAGAACCACAGAAAGGAGGCAAAAGCAGAAAACAAAAGGCAGTACCTCAAAAAACTAAAAAAAATAGAATTCCCTGCTGCTGTCACTTGATTTCAAGAACCATGGAATCGAATTTGGACGATAGAGAAGAGAACGGACACTGCCACGTAAGAGCGAATACACTCACCTTGTGCTGCTGCACTTATTGCAACCCAAAATCCAGCTGCTGCAGAAGGCAAACAGCAGCTGCTTCAACCATCGCCTGATCCGAAGAAGCAAAGGGGACTTCCACCTTCTGCTCCTCGGCTTCCATCTGCGGATCGTCTGACTCCTGAAACACATGTTTAGGCGTGTACCGGGCAGAGCACCAGGCATTTCAGGCCGCGGGGGGCGCCTCCTCGTCTTGAGACACCTCACGTCGGACTCTGCCATTGGTGGCAAAAGATGCCTCCACCTCAGCGAAACGGCACAAACGAAACAGCACTGCCGCGGTGGGGCTCTCCAAATCATCCCAGCTGCCGTGTAGGCTCGCTGAATCTTGAGTTGCAGAAATCCAACCAAGCGAGCTGTTGAGATCTTCGACTCGTACACGTTGAAGGAACACTTGCTCCATATGAAATCTGATGAGCCCAAGGAACACAGCCTGACCAAAAACATGAGCCACAGGAGCATGCAAAAACCGAAACAAATGTTCTCCTGCCTCGGGAGCAGTTGTATGCTGGCATTAGTCTCTCGGTCTTCCTGATGAGCTTTGCCACCATAGAAAAAGATCCCCTCTTTCTTTGAATGTCCATGGAAATCCTCGGCTGCCACCCTGTGCAACAACGTGAGTTTGCCATCGGCTGCCACCAAGAATCGACAAAAATCTCAACGCCAGCCGGCGCTTGCTTCATCGCTTCTTTCAAATGATAGATTTCAGGATGTATCCTCTTGCTTGGTTTTAAATACACGCCTTGGCGACCGAGCGCAGTGCAGCAAACAAAAAAGTGAAAACAAGCATTCATTCAGGTGAGCAAAAACATAAAGAGCTCTTGCTTCCTCCAGGCTACGATTTAGGTCCGTGCCAGCGAGACCTTTGATGGCAGTCAAGGCAGGGTCTTATGGCATGGCAACAGTGCTAACGACAAGAGGGCTCGGCTGCAACGATAGCAGCCGCGTACAACACCATCGGGATTCAACATGGGCACAATGAGCCACTTGAAGGCCTAGCATGGCATCAGCTGCTTAGACCAGCTTCCATGTGAAGGAGTCAACGTCTGCGCCTTCCGCAAGGCAATTGCCTCTGCGGCTGGTGATAGGAGGAACAAAATGAAACCATGCCTCAGAGGTGGTCACCGGTGCCAGACTTTGGGAAACATCTTATCAATCCAAGGATCATCATCCACGAGGCATTTGACTCACCAGGGTGAACTCGTGCAGTCAAGACAGCCAAACCTTGCTGTCACGATCCCAGCTTGCCCTACTTGCGAAAAGCATCAAAAAGCATCAATGTATCTCTTTGAACTTTGCCATGCCATGCCTAGGCATTCGTCCTAAACCTTCTGAGGCCTGCCATGGCTCGCTGGTAACAGACCACCCTCGGAGTCGGACAGCTCTGCGCTGTCCGACCGCCCTTTGTAAAATCAAAGCTAAACTGAAAAGACAATCGGTGACAGCCTGCAGATACCTGCAAATACCTGCAGATGAAGGGCCACGCTGCAGCACGTTTGGATCCACGCTGTCTATCTCCAAGGCTTCACAAGGAAGACCTCCTTCTCAGAGCAACAAGCAAAATGCAAGGTGCGAAGTCGGCCAGCCCAGTCCTATGGTATGGCAAAGCCTTGCATCAGGCAGCATCTCACACGTCAAAAGCACAAAAACTGGATGCCTGCTAATTGTTCCAAGGTGCGGCTTGCGGCTGAATAACTTGCCAGCATACGGGTGCGCTTCCAAGGTGTTGATGAATTCTGTGAGGTAGCTGTAGGTGTATGGGTAATGGTACCTTGGCTGGCGGGTGTTTGGGTTCCGCACATTGTTCCAAGTGGCTGCTCAGATCAAATCACAATGGGCTGTTCCGCATGTGTCTGCTGCACATAACTCTTTGGCCGCTTGAGATTGAAATACATTGAGATCTGGGGTCAAAGAAAGCCAGGAGATGGCAACAAGTTGACCCAAAAAAGTACATCTCTAGTCGTACTCAAACCTCGGAGCTCTTTGAGGTTTGTGTTCTTGATGCAGAACTTTGGCATGCTACCCAGCATTAGCATAGCCATGGTCCCCTTGCATAACCCTCTGTAGCAATGATAATGGAGACAGGTGTGTAAGCATAAAACTTGTTCTCTCTCCTGAGGAATACATTGGTCCCTTGTGCCACTTGCCAGGAATTTCAACAAGGACACACACGCAAGACCGCAAAAACTATGCCCGACTACGCGAAGTTGTGTTGATGCAGCACTATGGCACTTCATGATGCTGTAGAACAATCTATCCTACCTGTGTCAGCTCAAGAACAGCCCTCGAAGAGCTGGCGTTTGAGGTCTCCCAAGGAAAACCCTCCCAAGGAGCTAGTGTCACTAACATGGTGAACTTCGGATGTGACGGGAAAGGGCCTTGGAGGTTCAGGGGGCAATCAGCTTTCTCCAGCCGAAAGTGCTCAACCATTTAGCTAAGAGACTCCCGACACTTGCACGCCCAGTCACGCAAAAAAGACGGTGTCATCATCGAACTCAAATGTGTAGGCGAATGATAGCGTGAAGCAATTCTTCTGCGAAGTCCTTGCTGCTTATCTTTTATCAAAGCCCCATTTAGAATCTGAGAGCACCACAAGCAACTGACGGACAGATAAGGATGCAGTCCAGATGCACTGCGGCTTTGCTAGACTCTGTTGCTGAATAACTCACCTTTGGCAGGCGCACAAGCGCCACACAATGCCAAGCACCAAATTAGGTCGCCAGAACTCAGCCGAGTTGCATCACTGCATCCGCGCTCCCAGCCCCTGCCTGATTGCTCGCTCCAAATCACTGGCCGCATCCCCTTCTCACCTCATGAGGAACAGGCTGGAGTTGTGAAAGCCAGCTTCCCGACAATTAGCACTGGGCCAAGACACCAAATAATGAACTTGACTTGGCCATGTTGATGAGGCGGAAGGTGATCTTCAAACCAGCAGTCCCCCCACGCACAGCGAAATAGAACCACTGTGTATATCCTTCTGTGTTGGCATCCACGTCCACCTATGAGTTCAGAAACATGAAGGCCGATGCCCCAAGCGAAGCTGGTGCGTGCCAAGAAACTAACAAGGTGTACTGGGTTGGGTTGTCGCACTGGGCCACTGCCAAATTGCCACTTTCAAATCTTGGCTTGCCCATGCCAGACTGCAAACAGCAAACACAGCAGGAGTTGTGCGAATCCTGGGTGTTCACAACCCAGGAGCGATGCTGAAAAAGACAGCCGGGAACGTCCATCTGACCCAGGAAAGGACTCCTAGAGACAAAGCATGGTTGATCACAGACATGCGACGTAAAGCAACAAGAAGCTATGCACATCCAAGCTTCAAATTCCAAATCTTTTGGAGGAACGCAAGGCCCTTAATCATGTTTCGCTTCCACAAAAGACTGCTGCCAGCTTGACGCAGGTGCGCTCGGCTGCAGCAAAGAATCCAAAATCCCCAGATGCTGGGCGGCCTCCCTGCGGAAGCTTCAGTTTGATGCGTGCAGCATCGGCATCAGCCTCACATTGCATTCAGGCAATGCAGCTGGCGTACCATCTCACGTGTCAAGTGAGCAGCTGGATCTTCGGCACCATCCTCTGATTGTTCTGCCGCTGTCTCCTGATCTTGGGTCGGCTCCACAGGCTAAGCAACCAAGTCTAATCTAGTTTGCACAACGGTCGGTGGTTTTCTCCTCCTAAGGCCGCCCCGCCCCCCCTATTAAGCCTCCCGAACCCTTCCACAAGCTTCAATTTTAGGAAATTCAAAGGGGGCCCTTTGGCCCCTTCAGCCCCACAAGGCCCCCCACCCCCACAGCCCACCCTTTCCTTTGACCTGAGGTGGCCACCGCACAGCACTGTTTCCCTGACACAACTCTTGATTCTCCCTGCAGACCTTGGAGCCGGCCCCTGGGGACCCCCCTCCACCAACCCCCCAAAACCCTCACAATCCCCAAAATTCTTTTTACGGATTAGAACTGCCCTTACGGCACCCTATAGCAAACCGGCCCGCGAATTTTGTGGAGCCGGCCCCTAGCCCCCGTTGTAACGTGCTCCAACCAAGATCTGGGCAAGGTCCAAAGGCACCTATTGCATTGAGCAAGACTGTGAAACCACGCTTGCAGCGCTCTGAATGCTAAGGTTCAGTATACTTTCCACGCAGCAAAAAAAACAGCGGCGCTAACCCTTAGATCAGGATGCCTGAACGGCTTTCGGTATGCAGACAACCGCGCCTTCCTCCTTTCTGAATGTAATGCACACAATCCCTGGGGCCAGTTGCTTCTACGTCTTGAGTTCTATGGTTCCCCCATGACCATGGAGAACGTTTCAGGTGAAGAACTTCTTGGCACCACCTGTTCCATACCACAGGGCGCTGTTACGTCTCGCCAACCCACAGATGCCACCTTACTTCGCACCTTGGAGGCGGTGAGCAGTCGGAAATTTGTTCTCTCCGGGTTCAGAGCACGAGTGTTGACATGGTTTGTGGGCGACCTTTTTGGTGGTTTCTGTTCTTTCTCCGACGCAGTACGGTTGATCAAGTCAGCAAGTTTCAGGGCCATGGCCTCCCCAGAGAGGCGACCATTATGCTGTTGGCATTTTTGCAGTTCGAGACTGTCAGTAGGTCCAAGCCTGTGGATTGTTGAGGCACTGACTCGGTGCTTCAGTGGCAGTCGTGGCTGGAAGCGTGGCAACGCATCGTCGTTGTGATACGAGATTGGAATTCTCCAGCTGCTATTTTGAATCCATCTGTGCGTACAGCATCACCGTCCGAGTTACGCCTACATCCCACCACTGCTCGTATCCTACGGACCTTGTCAGTGGCCTCATGTAGTGAGTCTGCCAATTTTGCTTTTGTGGAGGTGCACATTCCAAATCTGACACCTTCTCATGTTACGTTTTTCCCTGATTTGCTACAGATTTATGTGTTGCTGCAGACTACGTTTCATGCGCTTCAAGTGCAAATGCTAGAAATCCTGCTCCGGACTGCATGCAAAATGATGGTCCGGCTGTTGCTATTTAGAAACTTCAGCAATTTTGAGGCATGGTCGCAGTTGTACACTCAAGCTGATTCGTAGTTGCAATCATGTCGGATTCCTCTGATCGTGCAGGACATATGACTGCTCCCGATCCCTGTTACCAAGAGCTTGATTGTCAGGAAGACACCAGGCACCCCGCATTTGGGGATGCACCTTTGCCTCCGGTGACGTTGGCTGAGTACGACCGGCTCTTACTGATGATCCAGACGATTCAGGCAGACCAACTTCAGTTACGCAACAATTTCTTTCGTGCAACGCAAGATCTAGACAGACTTCATGCATCCTTTAAACGCCTTGTACAACGTCTGACTCAGTTGGAACTAGTTGCAGCGTTTCGTCAAGCATGAGCTTAGGAAAAGACATGCGCCTCTTTGTTGCGAGTTGATTTGCTGACAGGAGACGCTCTTTGCTGATGAGCCTTTGTCCTGTTCAAGTGTAGACAGCGGCATACGTAGAACAGATGCACTACTTGGTTGACCCCGTGCTCGAAAGCGTGCACGCAATGCAACAGAGAATGGGACCACCCACAAAGCTACCCGCTCGATACCTGATGCCACAATTTGCCGCTGATTTTCTTGCATACCAACTATACCGAGTCTCGTGGCCTGAGCTCGAGTCAAGTCAGATGATTGCAGGCCAATGAACTCAAGATGTGGCGACTCATCAGGAAGAACGTTGAACCGCAACTTGACGGTGAGTTCAGTGACAGTCTGTTCCAAGTGTTCGGTGTCCGTCGGGACGAGGTGAGAACACTCCTTCAGGACAAGTATGATGCTGATCTGGAGTGCCATTCAGATTAGTTGCCGAAGTTTCACTAAGGACCAACGAACGCATCACGGGCATCCAAGAACATGCATGAGATGTCCAGAGTTACTGACCACTGAAGTAGGTCGATGGAATTGTGCCTTTGCTCCAGCCTGAGCAGGATGCTACCAGATGGCTGCTTGTCTAGGGCTTTTTCTTTTCTGTCCATTCAACATGTAGACTTGGCATTTTATATGCGTGGAGTCCCCACTCCCATCATGTCTCCGAGAGCCGACAAAAGATGTTGACAATGATTCATCTACTGAACCTTCTGACGACGTCTATCAGGCCGTCGTACAGCATTATGGAGGTGGCAGACTCATTGAGCGTCGCTTGCACCGTCGAGCACCAGGTACTGTCTCTCATTTCATTAGGGGGAGGTACAGGTACAGGATCAGATTCATTGCCCGTACTTTCTCCATCAGAAACGCAAGCCGGATTGCAGCAGTTCATCGGACTTTTCTTCTCGCACTGCTGGCGGAAGTCGCAGGGCAAATGTGTCATCTTCCTTCAAGGTCTCGTTGGAGAGTCGATGAATAGACGACTCCGCTTCCAAGTTGACAATGACGATGCTGATCAGCTGAAGGGACATTTCTCAACCAGTGTACATGGTGCTTTCAGGCTAGGGCCCTAAAGCCCTAAACCTTCTGCCTTCGAACCCTAGCAGCTAGCAGTCCAAGCGCCAAACCCCGAGCCACAAACCCAAGGACCCCTAAACCCTTGAAACTACTAAATCTGAAGCTGAAAACCTGAACCCCTAAGCCGGAAAGATCCCAAACCTTAAAC